CTTTGGAAAGTTAGGTGAGAGGAGGAATGAGAAAAGTAAAGTGTCTATATGAGGCAAAAGAGATATTGATAGAAAGTAGAAAAAAGAAAAGTTTGAGGTTAATATTTTCTCGAGAAAGATTCAACTTTTAAGAGTGTTTTAGGGTTTAGTAGAGATAGAGAAGAAGAGGAAACAGAAAAGACACAGAGAGTGAATCTTTGCCAACACCATTCGTTTGTTTTTGTGTGGTTTTTGGGGTAATTAATTACTAATTTCCGTTACAGAAGACAATTTTTGGGTTTTAGGAGAGAATTATGAGATTGAGTAATTTATGGAGGAAAAAGTTTTTGTTTAAAAGAATGAAGGAAATGAATCTATTGGATTCGAATGTTTTTGAATGACTATTCTTCTTTGGCTTTGACGGGAGGACTTTGGTGTACATTAAACGACGACGACTTAGACCAAGCCATTATACATATGATTTTTCTTGCTAAATGCTAATTGTTTTTTAGTTTTGATTGGGTCATTGGACAATAGAAAATCTTCATGATGAATATGAGATTGTATTTGTAACGTAAAAATGGTGGAATCTAGAACAAGTTATTTCACATAAATTGATTGCATGTAGAGTCTATGCACAAGCTTTTGACAAAAAAAAAAAAATTTAACTATAAATTTGTGTTGGTAGTCCTAAATCTAAATTGAAAAAAAAAATTGAAGGATAGATTAGCAGTTATGAACAAAAAAAAATCAGAAATAATAATTTATTTGATAAAATAAATTAATGCGTATTAATTTTTGGAAATCTGAAAATAAAGAAAAAAAAATAGAATTGCCGCCAATTAAAAAAAATCTTTCTTCATTCTTCTTCCACTATCATAGATTCGGACCAGTTGTCAGCGTCTCACTCACCGAAACCACCTAACCCACTCCTCATCTCCAAATTTTTCTCCATACGAGGAATGAATGTCCCATAAACTCATGTTGACTTACGGGAAAAATTCGGTTGTACCATGTACAAATTTTATTTTAGTTGTACCAAAAACACTAGTTGTATTATATCTTCATT